CCCCCACGCTTTCATTCCCTCTTCATATTCGACTGAAAGCCTACATCCCCCACGCTTTCGTTCCCTCTTCATATTCGACTGAAAGCCTACATCCCCCACGCTTTCATTCCCTCTTCATATTCGACTGAAAGCCTACATCCCCCACGCTTTCGTTCCCTCTTCATATTCGACTGAAAGCCTACATCCCCCACGCTTTCGTTCCCTCTTCATAGTCAACTGAAAAGCCTACATCCCCCACGCTTTCATTCCCTCTTCATAGTCGACTGAAAAGCCTACGATATCAGAATCTCTTTTGTTAGATCCTGACAGACTAGGGATGGACGACCCACTCACGAGACAAGATAAGCGACTAGCAAGCGAAATCAACAAGCTGTACCGGATGCAGAAAGAGATTTTGGCAAGATTCACCAACACGCCCTTTGTTATGGGATTGTGGCTATTAAATAGATTTCACAGAATCTTAGATTTGGCGAGTGAGTTGCTTTTGTTCTGAAGCACACCTGGGATCGTATAAGTATGTGATTGTGGAGATTCAGATACTAGGGTCGTTGAGGTGGCAAATGGAAATCGAAGTGATTGATTTGTTGCTCTGGAGTATCAGCTGTGCTCTGGAGTATAAGCTGGCCACTCTGTTGTACGCCATACATAAACTCGTTATACCAGAAAGTCAGACCACTTCTACCAAGACGCATACCAATACCTTCAAAAATCAACTAGGCCATTCCCAATACACCTAGACCATTCCCAAGACCTAGAGAGCCTCCATCTGACAATCCCTTTTCCTCTACCGTTCATGTACCTCATAAATAATCCTAGACCAACATTTTCATCTCCTTCGTGGTTTTCGCCGGCTCCTCTGCAGCGGCGTTCCTGATCGGCTACTTCTTGTTTTCTTACTTAAGGCTTATATAGTAACTCATCTTAAGAAGCATCGCTGGCCCCTTCTTGGAGGGGGAAACGCGTCAAAGATGCTTATGCAGCTTAACCCCGAGATGAATATTCATTAAGAAAAGATGCTTATGCAGCTTAACTTCGAGATGAATGAATATTTCTTACTTAAGTTAGTTGAATAAATATTCATTACTTACTGAAGTTAGTAAGCTCTAACTTACAAGTTACTGCCTGTAATTCTTGGCTCTTATCTCCTGCTTACAACCAGTTATTACTTACTTAACAGTTAGTAAACAAAAGCTCTAACTTCCCCCCTAAAGGACACCCACAGTTGGACGCAGATTTTCTTGCACGACTTTCTCCAGAAATACTACTACAAGGAGGAGCCATACGAATGGCATCAGAAATTGCGTAGTTGGGCGGTTCGAGGTCGTTGGCCACACGAAAGGCACAACTTGGGTGCGGATGCGGAACTGAAGCACGTGATGTTTGGCCCGACGAGTGCTGGGAATAACATGGGTGACGAGGGAAATTATGGCTGTGCAGACTTCTCTATCCTTTACCTACTATCCTTCCTTTTTCTTTTCCTAGTTAGCTTGGCTCCACCCATACAAACATGTACCAGGGAGGGAGCCCCCCCCCCTGTGGATGGATCTGTGGTGGACCACGCCAGAGGGGTCCAGCCTGGCCACCTTTGCGCGGTCTGTATGGTTGGCCACATGCAGCACGCCATGGGGGTGGGTCCCGCCTCGCCTCCTCTGCCAGCTCTGTCGGGTTGAAGCACGTGATGTTTGGCCCGACAGCCATGGGCGACGTACAAATATGTATAAGCCTACTATGTATTCGTCCAGCACTGTGGCCGGCCAGGCTGGTCTCGTCTCGTCTTTCTTCTGTATATTAGGCAAAGTGAGAGGGTGGATCTGGTATGGTTCTCACTCTAACACATCCAAGGCTCATCCGGAGACGCCGACTCCACCTACAACGAGGACGACTCCACGCCTAGACTCTCCGTGCGCGAACGCATTGACCTTGAATACGGTGCGCCTCTACGGAGAAAGTATAGGGAAATCTTGAGTAAGGACGCTAGCAACGAAGCAGAAAAGCGAAAGGGAAGTAAGACTTCCGGAAATCCATCCCCAGACGCATCTTGGACCTTTCGCGTACTACGGGCGAAACGGGTCTAAGATGCATCTCAAAAGGGGAGATTCCCGGAAGGTCTAAGGGTAGTAAAATGGCTGAAAAATTGCTAGCACAGATGCCTGCTGAGGATGACGAGGAAGCAAAGCGAGCGTTGCTCCTTGAAAAAGAGAGAAACAAGGATACCAGTACACCAGAAGAAAAGGCGCATTACGCCGATGACGAGGAAAGTTCCACCTTTATGTAGTTGAGGGGATAGTTGTTGAGAAACAAATAGTTAGTGCATATTTCAAATTCATACTGTTTCTATTCATATTGTATAATCAGTGAGCAGGTCATCGCGAATAAACCGTGGTCAAGTCTTCATATTGCAAGCGGAAGCAAGTACTGTCTCAGCGTACTGCATTAACCCAATCCCAATCCATCCATCCATCCATGCCCACTGCATCAGAGCGCTCTCTAATATCTCGTCCACAGGCCTGATGATTCATTCCCCTATCCAACTAGCGGCAGGATTCGACTACACTGGGGAGATGGCGTTTTCTCTAGGAGGTTGCGGATTCGGAATGGTCACAGTTGGGCCGTTTGAAGTTGTTCATGTAGCGGCTGGACGAGAGGTGGAGGACGTGAACGAAGACACTGCTGAAGATCCTAATACAACAGCACAAACTCCCACACCTCCAACTTCTGACCCTTGGTCTACCGTCAAAAACTGGGATGATGTCGTGGACCCCGAGACACAGCAGAGTAGGTTACGCAACGCATCTGCGCGAATCAGTCTTGATACTACGACGCGTGGAAATCAGCTCCTATTTATATTTGAGAAGCATCTTGGGCCTCGTCCCGTGTAAGGGTGAGACGGGTCCTCGTCCAAGAAGATGCTTCTCATCAAATTTAAGTGGGAGCTAATTCCCGGAAAAAAGGTCTAATGATACTTTCCACCGCTTACCGGTTTTTCGAGTGAGGACAGACAATCCAGGCTTCTTCGAACAGCGCAGACGAGTCGTGTCGTCGGTGTCCAGAAGGACAAGAATAGGAGTACAATTGAACATTACCCTCGCCGATGCGAGTAGTACAGCATTGTCCAAAGCAGAAAACGACGCTTTAGCCTACTTGGCTGAGCAGGGTAGCACTGCAAACTGCAGTGACGAAGACAATACCGCTCCAGCTATTGACTATGCTGTGTTCAACCTGCAACCGGCGGAAGATAAGATTAAGGCTTCTGCTTGAAGAAATCCTATGGGAGCTAGCATCTTGGGGGCAAATCCTGGAGTATCTCATATCTATGGGAGTATCTAGGGGTCCCCTCTGTTTCCCTTTCCTGAAAAGGGGAAACGGCCACCAAGATGCTCTACAGGATGCTTTTCCTTTAGCTCTAATAAGACGAGAACTTCTTCCTCACGTTCTTGTTCTTCAGCGTCTGTGGTTGACAACGTCTTGCACCATTTCGAGCCAGAGTTTCCAGTGTTTTTCCACGTCAACAAGAAGACACAAGATTTTTGGTCGAGTTACTACAATACCAACTCGCACAGCGCGAGGACGAGGACGAGCGCAGGAGACGACAATACTTCTAAGCGCCGAATCGGTTTCATTTGCGAGGACTTTGAGACCTTAGATGCGATGTGGAAGAACACAAATCGTGTTGCGACGACCACAAAACCAAGAAAAGGAAGCTCTTCTAGTGCGACGTCTTCCACAGCAACATCATCTCCTCCAGCTACACTGATTTTAAGTTTAGATGGTAAGGAAGCCACCGTAGTGAACGCAATGAAGGCAATAAAGCGAGGAGCAAGCGCGGTTGAGCTATTTGAGTTGTTTATACAGAAGGGCGTTGCGGGTCTGACAGATTTCAAAGCCGAACTGGGGAACGAAATTATTAAGGCTACAAGAAACCCATCTTCTCCGGCAACATCTTGGTCCTCGTTTTTTCTTTTTAAAGGGAACATACAAGATCAGGGACCTCGACGGACAACTTTTTTAACTTCTATTTAAAGGGAACAAACATCAAGTTGAGTCCGAAGACGGATTTCTCTTACAGTTCTAAAGCTAGTAAAAACTTCAATGGGTCCGTAAGCACGCTGCTAGGCACGGAGGCGGACGAATACTATTCTACACCTGTGGTTTCGACTTCCTCATCAACAACTTCGAGTACTATGGTACTAGACAACCTCCATCTAGACAACCTCCATCTGGTAGAAGATACTTCATCTACAAGTCACAGCAGCACATCAGCTGAAGACAACATAGTACCACCACCAGAGACTGTAGTAGAAAAGAAGATAAAGAAGAAGAAGAGGAAAATTTATAGGCCTGGCGGACCGTCTTGCGCTAGTGGCGTGTATGTGGACCCGGTGGGAGGGTAATCTTCTCGTGTAACTGTATAGTGGTGACTTTGTATAAAAGAAACCAGTGAAGATCACAGGCGCATATCTACTCAGTCTCTCTGCATATTTTTAGGCAAGAGAACCTCTTCCAGCTCTACCATGGAGAAACTGCAGATGATCAGGTGTTCTCTGACACGCGAAGATCATCAGAGAGACAGTCGCTTAGGGACTCTTCACCAGACTGCGTTCGAAGACCTCTTTTCGTCTGCTTTGTCACACCTAGTTACATAGATACCGACCAACGTAAAGAAAAAGACCTGCTACTTTATCTGTCTTATTCTTTGAGACAAGCTAATTTGACGTTCCAGTTGTAACTGTTTAACACAACTGTTAGCACAACTACAGCTGCTGCTACACTACTTCCCATTTTGCGCTTTATTGTACTGCAAAACATAATTGCTATATTATCGTTTACATACTTACTATAATTGCAATACTACATGGAACAAGTTGCACACTTCAGACTTTTTTTTCTTAGGAAACGAAAAAGATGACTCTCGCGAGCAGGCTCCTTTCCTTCGTTCATCGCCTATCAATGGCTACGACGATGACCTTCTGCTTCCAGCCGCGGCCATCCCTCTGTTTTGGTCACAAACTTACCAGACTCACCAAGAAGCTTCACCTCACCAAGAAACTTCACCTCACCAAGAAACTTCACCTCACCAAAGTGAGGTGTAGTGGGTTTGTCGACAGTCTTTTTGGGCAGTTTGGCTGCACCGAATGTAGTTCTGCAAATCCAGTGGCGCCTGATGAGATCGTCGACGTGGCGTCAGGCACATCAATCAATCATTCAATAGTACAGCCACTGCCTGCGCTCAGTAGCAGCGCGCAGATGAGAGAGGCGAGAGTTATGATATATTCAATGATGTGGACAAGGACATGTTAGATTTTGGTACTTCTACTACTAGACTAGATAGAAGTAGGAGGACGAGGACTCACAGACAGGGTTCACTTGTGTCACATACGCTTTTTTTGATAAACAACGTCGACGTCGGTCCTTGTTGAACAAAAGGTATGAAAAATAAACCTGATGGCGACCGAAGCAAACATCAACAAGGTCTAGGTGGCCTCTCAACCGTGCCTGAAGAAGGCGACTCGACTCCGCTGCGCGGACGTTCTGAAGGCATTTGCGAGGTTTTAAAAGTGCAGTTTCAGGAACACTGGTAGACATGGACATAGACGAAGTAGTAGTTGTACTACTTGACAGGACAGCACCCGCTGGTATTTTTGAATTTTGTTTTCTTATCCTGGTTTACGACTAGATTTTCAATCCAATTATTAATCGCTTCACCCACCCCCTGACAAAGTTTTCAACAACGAGAATGATGCCACAGCTGTTCACTTTCATTCCGTGGCTCCTACATCTAATCCTTTCGCCCACCCCCTGACACTGCGAACGACGACGATTGTTCAGGAGAAGATGAGGACAGGGCACTGGCAGTCGGTCGACAGGGGAGCTTGATGTCTGTGGGGAAACAAGATTCTGTTTCTGCAAATGTTAAGGCGTAGTGCCCAAATTTTCCATCTTCAGATAGTACATTTTGAGGGAACATCTGAATAAAATTCATCTCGATGATGTGTTTGGTTGCCGCATGGTAGAAAAGAGGAAGAAGGCTTGAGAATGGGCCTGAAGATGTATTCGGATGAGCTCTAAAAACTTCGGAGCGCCAGTAGGCGCACTACGCTCTTTAGATTCGACCGGTTCTACGATGTCGATGCCGTTCATGAGGCATGTGACTACATTATGGAGTGGAACCTTTTGATATAGTCTGTAGCTGTTCATGAGGCATGCGACAACACTATGAAAAGTTGTGGTGATTCTTTGTGCAGCAGTGGTAACAAAACCAGTATAACCTAAACGACGCAACAAGAATGGTGTTTCTTTCTTCCAGAATGACGATATTTTATGAACAAGCACGTTTTATATATACGTACCAATACCTAATCGTAGTAAAGGGTCCCACCGACCCACCGAGATAAGCTGACCCTTCTCTTTTCATCTCGGATCGAGGCTGCGCAGCTTTCACTTGGGCATGTCCAGAGTGATCAGTCGAGTCTTTGCGACTCCGATTCTTCGCGATCAAAGGAAAGCTGGACCTATTCCGTTGGATCCGAAGAAAAATTCCAAAAAAAAATTCCGCACTACAAAGCAGAAAGATGCGATCTGAGTGCGACTTTGAGTCATTATCCTTGGAATCTTCGTAGTAGTAAGTATAATTGTTTCGAAAGAAACTGTTCTTTAGCCTTAAGGTGAAGATCACTAGAAGAATTAGACAAGAAATAGATACTTTACTACGTGCTTTTCATCTTCCACTAGTCTATTTCTAACCCCTCGACTCCCGCGCTGACGTGGACTCTGCACACTTTAGTCGGCATAGTACTAGTTCGGGCGCTGAGCATGAGCAGATAGATACGGGTTTGAGTCGGCGTGAACGACGTCGTCTTCGACATGCAGCGACATTTGGTGACCAAGACCAGCTACTTTTACGGCTCTCGATGTCAATTCAACTTTCTTGACTGCATCCTTGTCAAGGGTGAAAAAGAAATAGAGTAGCGCTGAGTCTTGTTATGGTTTGCATCATGCAGAAATAAATTATTATTATGGCTGAGTAGTAGTGTTCAAGGATCACGCAGCAGCGTGAAGTTATGAGTTACAATTAGAATTACGGAGAGGTCTAATACATGAGGGTAGTCGTCCTGCCCAGCCACCGATTACAGGAAGAGAATGAGGAGAGCAATTTTTCGTGGAACTGCTCTGTTACTGTTTATCAGGCTGATGATGTAGGAGAATACAACTACTAGAAGAATATATCTGTTACCTCTGTTACTAGAAGAATGAACCCGTTACTAGAAGAATGAACCTGTTGCCAATGCCAGCGTTTGTTTACTCTTTTTGCAACATCCAACACCTTGCCGAATATAGACATTTTTTGGTAGAAGATTCAATCGTGATTGACGAGATAACTAAAAGATGTATCGCCGAACTATATTTGAAAACTATGGCTAAACAAAAAACGTAGAACAACTAACTTGTTGTAGTAACTCCCTCGTCAGATGAACTGCTCACGCATATAATGCACACTATGAAAATATTGCGAAACTTTTCATCACCTATGAAAATTTATTGTTTTCTCGCGAAAGAGAAGTTCGACCTTATAGATACATATTGCTGAAAATCACTCGTAATCGAATCCAAGAGGCAGCAAGAAAGGGCATGCAATCATTTTCCATTCAACACTAAAGCCGATTGTTCGACAGAAGGTAGTTTTTTTGCAATTGCATGGATTGTTCGACGCAAGATTTATCAATGCTCTTTTTTGACACATGCTTTGTGGTGAAGATCCGCAATTATCTCTTAGCCTTAGCAAGACCACCAGCCATCGCACAAGGAAGGGCTGGAACAGCGTCGTTGCTCAAGGGGCGCGCAACGGACTGCGTATCCAAAAGCTGTGGACTTGTGAGAGCATCCAGTCCAAGGAATGTGGGAGTTGTGAAATTTACTGAAACGAAGAGCGAATGAGATGGGTGAGGGTGCGTGTTTCTAGTTAGTGTCTCTAGTTATAGTGTTTACTCGTCGCTCCATCTTTCATATCTCTGCCTACAACATGATCCCACATTAGTTTTTCAAAACAAGAATAGGCCAAACTGATTGCGCTAGCATGGCTGAAGATGACTCTCGTTTTTTCGAAAACTCGGTTTTTCACAGCAGTGCGTTACTCACACTTGGATAGAAGAAACCTAGGTCTACTTTTGGATAGAAACCTAGGTCTTCTAGTCCCAAGAAGAAGAAGGACAACTCTGAAAAAATTCAAGACATTGAAAATCACGACAAGCCTCCACTCCCGTCTAACGAGCATAATAAGCATCATCTTTTTGCTGCTATTATCTTCGTTCGTCACCCATCATGACCGAGAATCCTCCTTCCTAGTCCACGCTCGTTTTTATCGTTCTCACTTTGTTGGGAACGCCGTTTAAGGGTAGGTTAAAGGTGCTTTTCTTACCGCTTTTTATGGCTCTCTCCTTTAGGTGGAGACAGGCATAAAAAGCGGGATAAACGAGCACCAAAAACCTACCGCTAAGCCGTCTGCAACCATGAGACGAATGCGGTCAGGCAGTTGCGCGAAGACATTCGCAACCTGGTCACTGGCATGCCAGATGGGTACACTCAGATTAAGGCTGTAGTTTTTCACCAAGTCGTCTCATGTACTTAGTAGATGTAGACCTCTATACTGAGTAGATGAGAACTGGGCTCGGTCGTTCACGTTCTGTGATTTCTACCTAAAGAGGATTAGTATACGTGTCGTCCTCAAGCAGGCATAGGATGGGAGAGGGCTCTAATGGAAGCTGGATTCCAGGAACCAAGCTGTACCACTTGCGCAGGCTGCAGGAGGTGTTTACCTTCGTCGCGCAACACCGCTGGTTGGCACCGGTTTACTCGCAGAGAACGAGGGAGAGGGCGCTCACGCGGCCATGGGAGCTAATTCAGGATCGATTGGGCCAAGGGTTTTTCACTTTATGTGGACCTGAGTCTGGTTGCCTTCCCAATATTGATGTACAGCCAGAAGGTAAAAACGACTCAGAAGTGTTCGGTAGAAGAGACAGACCATGATCAGCATCAGCCCTAGTACTAATGTTTTGTCTCGGGTTGTGCAAGACGTTAGGTCGCGAGATAACTTCATACTGTAGTACTACCTGGTTCTAGCAGCTTCGTTTCACTGCCTTGTCTTTCCAGCCTTCATAGCCCGGCGAATCTCTCGCCACCGACCATTCGGGTCAACTCCGGAATGCCTATGACCGCCTCAACACCCTACACGCGAGACCGCAGTCTATTTCTTCCGACTGTTTTGCGGTCGAGCTGATCTCGATGTTGATGCACATTTTCGCTGAACTCACGTATGAACAAGAAATCCGAAGAGAAAGGCTCGATATGTGGGCTAGTGGAGCGTTTTTGTTAAGGTTGCTTTGTCACTATCTTCCTGTGTGACTAGGCTTACAGTTATAGTGAATTCCCTCTTTTTTATAACTGCATCCAGGGGATTAGGATTTTGAGGGACGAAAGAAAAGGCACTAGCCACTCAACCACGACAGATAGTGAAAAGCTAGTGCAGCTGTAATTTTAGCACAAAATGCCGAACTTGTGCGAAGGCAGCAATTGGAATTGCCATCGCCAGTGTCGTATAGAAAGGAGGTGGCGAAGGTGGAAGATGAATGGGGTAAATGGAGGATGTATGAACACGATCAGCAAGTGGAAGAGCAAGCAAATAACGCTGTCTCAGGCAGTAGAAACACGTGGAACCGCACAACTGGGATTAAGCGATTGGTGAAAGTGGCAGACAGCGGGGAATGGGTTGGTATGACTTGTTGGAGGCAAGTAGTTGTAAAAGTACAGAGTAATTTTTTGAGCGTGTTGTAGCTGTATGTCCAGTTGTATTCGTAACAAAGTAAGTGTCTTCTATTGTTCAGGACGTGTTGGATTCCAATGGCAACAGTTGGAATACAGAATTAGCTGTCTACAGTAGTAAGACGGAAGTGCTCTACTTTTTGCCTTTGCTACCGCGTAGATCTCTTGTTCGTATAATTATGCCAATTTCCTCTTCGTCTTCACCCTCTTCGTTCATCCCTCATGCTCGGAAGACGGACTCCCACCTCCTTTCATCCCTGACGCTCCGAAGAGGTACCCGCATCACGAGGCCTATGTTCGCAGCTTTCGCGTAGACACGGTGCATGGCGAATTACGCAGTGGTGGCGTGCATGCTAGCCAATTCATGACGCGAACGCATAGTATCAAACAGGCTCTGGTTGGGAAGCATATACTTGACCAGGGCAGTGATCAGGGAAGTAGTGGAAGTGCAAGTGGAGGGAGTACGAGTACCAAGGGTCAAGGGAAGAGATCGACCGGTACTGCAAGTGCGACAGCAGCAACAGATACTGGTAAAGAGGAAGAAGAGGGGGAAGAAGACAACAAGCCTGATCCGGCCTCCTACCCCGTTCCACGGTTCCGTTTCGAGAACACCACGAGGGCCATGTTGTGGGAAAAAGTCGAACGCTTTTCCGTTTTCCGAGGACTGTCAGAGGTGTTTAGGGAAAGACAGGAACCGCTCCGACACATAAGAGATGAGCGCGACATTAACACACGAGCCTTGATGCTGAAGTACGCGCGTGGTACACAGCCTTACGTATTGGCAGACGAGCACTGGGGTAAAGATTTGTTTGAGATACAACAGAGTGGTAGAAGCAGTAAAAATGATAATTCCGAAGACAAGAATCTGCATAACCCCGAACAAGAGGACTCGACCTCGAGCAATTATCTTCCAGGAGGCCCAGATGTCGACCTTTCCGTACCTCTAGAGCACGAGCGTCACGCCGCAGGCGTGCAAAACGCGCACTTTCATCGCGCCTTTAGCTGTTTGCGGTTGAAACATAAGTTTCATTATTTCCTGTACTATGTGAAACAGGACTTCTTTGCCCGTCTAGTCACCGGTCAGATTGGCCAGTCAATTAAGGCTACCGCGCATCAAGCATCCTACGTACGCTGTGATCCTTGTGGCCCTGTTTGTACTTACCTGAAAAAGTAGCTTTCTGACCAGTGACCAAGGATGCTCGTAGGGATGTGAACGCGGTAGCTCTAAATCAACACAGGACCTGAGATCTCAGTCGGCTTTCATGGCTTTGCGGAAGTTTGAAACCAGGCTAAAGAGGATTTATGCGGTTGTGGATGAGAGAATGGTGTTTAAAGATTACGAGGACACTGAGAATCTTGACGTCGATACTGCTAGTACGGCTAGAGCACAAGAAGAAGGTAATGAACCTGAACCTCAGCCACTCCATGATGATCTTCAAGCAGTGCAAGCGCAAGTCCGTTTAGCAACGGGCTTCATCGAATCTGTGCTGTCTTCGACCTGGCCGTTGTTTGGGTATGTGTCTCAAGCACCATGGCGTCTGCCTTCGATGGGTGCGGAAACAACAGCCCTAGTAGCGGGAGAGGAAACCTACATGGAGTGGGTGAGGGACCAGGTGTATACAGTACCAGATAAAGTAGTGAAAATTTGGCAAGAACGGGACGAAAGACATCCTGGCCGTGCAGAAAAAGGGAAGATATCTGGTCGTGGAACAGGAACAACAACAGCAACTACTGCAGGAGCTACTTCTGTCGTGTCATCTTCGAGGTTTGAGGATTGGCCGATATCTAGTAGCGTTTTTGCTGCCGTGCAAGCAGAAGGACCTACTCGTGCTAGAAGTACATCCATTTCTAGCTCCAATGAAGGCAAATCATCCAACATTAAGAAGGACAAAAAGCTCTTGCAAAAAGCACGCATTCTACGACCACTAGCAGATGTTTTACTTCAGATGTCCAGAAATCCAGACTTGCGCAGATTAGAAGTGGTCTACGACCCTAATCGACGACTCGTGGTCCCACGACGACTATTGCGCTTGGTCGCTAAGACGTTCCAGAAAATAGTGCTATATTACAGGGAGTATTTTGGGGTCGGTGGGACGAGTAGGAACCATCAACCACAGAGCTTGCTTTTTTTCCAATATCTCTCCTTAGGCGGTGAACAAATCCCGGGACGTCCTGCGTCTGCTTCTTCGAGTGCCTACTTCATCGAGAACTCAGATGAAACAATACGTTGGGATAGGTTTTTCGCTAGGAAGGAGAGGATGTACGATCCAGAAGAATACTTTACAACTAGACCACAACATAATTCTCGAAACAGAAGAAGGGAGAACAGAAGCAAAAGAACTGCATCAACCACATCTTTCTCTTCAAGAGCAAAAAATAAGAGATACTACAACCCCCTCCGTCCTGGTGTGCATGCGCCTGGTTACGTCGCTTGGACGGCAGAGAAAGACGCGAAGGACATTCCAAATCTCATAGATCCATTGAAATTTGAGGATGCTCTACCTCATTTCGACGAACGTGATAGAGAATTAAGGTCAGCTTCTATCTATCTTGCTCAGGAGCATCTCGATACCCTTCTCCATGTATTTCTGTGGCAATGGGATCGAGATGAAGGAGCCCCCTAGATGAGCAAATGCTGAGGCTAAGAGAATGGAGAACAGTTACCCGAGCGGTGAGGATACGAGGTCGGGACGTGCCAAGGGAAGACAGGACGAAACAGATGTTTAACATGAAGGAGTATATGAGGAAGAAGGGGCTTGGTTCTGGAAGTGCCGAAGGTGAAGGTGCACTTGAGGAAGAAGGTGTTGCTGTGGGTGAAGATAGTGAAGCTAGTGGTCCTGGTGCTTTTGCAGATGCAGACGCAGACGTGGGTGAAGATAGTGAAGCTAGTGGTCTTGGCGAAGAGGAAGATGATGAAGAAGATTCAGCCGATTTTTCCAATGATTATACCTCTTCTTTCACGAGCAACATCGATCCCACAGCCATTCTTCAGCCTGAACCTCTCCTTTCGAATATCTACGACCCAGACGCTTCCCCCTACGCCTCTTCGGAACTTTTTTACCACTTCCTGCAGTTAGTTCAGTATCTCCAAGACCTGTTGTTTCATAGGAGCACGTGTCCTTGGCACGACACCGACAAGCGAATGCGCGGATACTTTAAGAGGAATTATTCATTTTAGTTCAACAGCCTCACAGGACGAGAGTCAGTTGTATACTTACACATTCTTAGTCACCGAGTGGTCAGTTGGACTTGTCTCCGTCTGTGTCTTCCTGGACTCTTTGAGACCATGACCGTAGAAGATGAATTACCTTTTGGCGCTAACTGCTTGGTAAAAACGACGCCTGTAGTACCGAATGAGTTCTATTTCTGCGTAAATCCCTTCTGGGAATCGGAGAATACGATGTCCACGCAGTTCCGCTTGTTTGGCTTGTGGGCCGAATGCGAAACGTTATTAGACGTATTGACGAAGAGGGAAAGGCAAAAGAAGATTGTTAACGGCTTTGCTGGACAGGACGACGAGGAGGTGTGCTTGAAGAAAGAGGACGAAAATCAAGTCCCAGAAGTATGTTCTTCAAAATCAGCTTCTACATCTGCCTCTTGTCTCTCTGCCATCGACGTCGGTGCTAACTATGGGGCTTGCTCTATGAGACTCGCAACCGCGCGTCAGAGCACTGAAGCGTATGACTTCGAACCGTTGCTGTTTCATGGTCGCGAACAACTAACTCAGATCGAAACAGCGTTCCTAGGCCGTCCTGGTTCCTATAGCGGCGTTCCAGACCCGTATTTTGGTGGCAGGGGTTTGCACGTACCTATAGCAGAGATGCACCTGGATGAAGTGGAGGGGATCGCTAGGGGATATTATTATAGTAACCACATCAATAGTCCTCTTCAAGGTCACGACCTTTCATCGAGTACGGGGTACAGTCTGAATGGTAGTCCTCGTCAAGGTTCTAGTACGACTTCAGCGCGCTCTGTACGGGATTCGGGTTCTGTACGGGACTCTCTTATCAAAGAAGAAGGCAATCGTGGTGTCCCTGGTCGGTACTACTTTGTGCACCCATTGGTAAGTGAGCTAGGGGCAAAGGCATCCGCAACTTCTGATGCAGCTATAGTGTCTTCGAACAAGAATAGTGCCTACAAATATGCAAGGAGATGGGACAATAATGGTGCAAATGTTCTTGTTGGGAAAAATCCACATCCAGTATCAAAGGATCTTGGGATATCGAACGAAGAAAGCACCACGACGACGTCGACGCCTATTTCTCCACCCAACCGTCAGCGTAAGCGTGGTACCGGTAGGCAGATCCTAGCAGTAGAGCCTGTCAATTGGAACGTTGCTTTCACTGCTGGAAGCATCCTGGCTAACCATTTAGAGCACCAGGTCCGCTTGATTCAGTCTGCGGCTACGAGTCATGAGAAAGCGCCTAGGTTTAGACGGATGCGGGGGGACCGGCAAAAAGCAGAAACTGGGAAAGAAGCGAGCTCCATAAGACTAAATGACGCTGAAGATGACCAAGACCAAGAGTTAGTTTTTTCAGTCCCGCATCAAGACACAGAGCTTGGCGGCCTCTTTACGCGTGCGCAATTGAACAACACGGACGACAGATTTAGAACCGACTTTGCTGATGTGAAATTGAGGTCTTTGGATGAGATACTGGCGACTGAAGTTGTTACGACTGCAGGTAAGATGAGCGATCATCCTCTAGGTGCTAGAAGTGCATCTTCAGATCAGAGCGATCCCGGAAGTAAGAGCGATTCTGTCGCAGCTGTAAGCGTGCTACAAGGTGTGAAGATACCAACAATCAGCGAAATCACCCGACAACTGTTCCGCGAGAGCCAAAACCCATTACCAGAAAAACCTATTCCAGCTGGCAAACTAGCAACGATGGAGAACAAGAACAAGAGCAGTCCTATCATAGAGACACCATCTAGAAGTGCTACATCAACAACACTATTTGCGCCATCCATCTCATCAACCCCAACTTCTTCTCCCACAGCACCGTCCATAGAAGCTTCTCCGTTCTGGTTCCCTAAAGCAGATCTTTGCTTACTAAAATCCGACACAGAAGGCCACGACCATGAAGTTCTGCATGGGGCGACTGACCTCCTAGAGTCAATGAAGAACACGCACAACAAGTTACCAGTAGTGTCCACGGAGATCAACGCGGATGCGCAACACCGTATCTACCGCAGGACAGATGCTCATGCTGGGACAGAACTCTTGAATATCTGGGAACAACACGGATATGCAGATGTGGTCGGAGCAACGACGAAAGTCGGTGATTTGCAAGAAGGACATGGCCATCTAGATGTCATTGGAGCGACGACGGAAGTAGGCGACATAGAAGTAGAAGAGGAAAGTGTGCGTGCCTCTACTTCTGGTTTTGATGGTGATTCGTCGAAAATTCTGAGTAAAGAAATGGAATTAGAAGGAGAAGAACATCCTGTTTTCGCTGATTCCTTCGCTAATGAAAGGCAACAAAGAGATTTTTTCACTGGAAAAACTAGTATTTCCTCAAGAAGAAGAACAACTACGAACACATCACCGAGAACGCCTTCGTCTTCCACTGTACCCACTACATCAGATGAAGAAAGACAAGGAACAACAACCAAAAAGGCACCGTTATCGATGATAAGACGCGATCGCGCAGCTTCTGCCGCAGTTTACGAACAACAGGTTGGGCGAAGTCTGCCTTTCGTGTGGTTTCTAAACGCTAAATGGAGTGAGGAATTATCGGATAAGGTGGCTGGCATGACGTTAGAATGGTTTGCAATACGAGTGGAGGAAGAAGACGGTACTGAACATATAAAGAGAGGCGAAAAAACTACTCGTGGCGATAAGGATAACAAAATATCAAAGGTGGAGGAGGAAGTTGTTGATTTAGAAAGCGTAGTCAGGAGTGCCTCTGGCAGCACAAGTCCTAGCACTACTTCAAGCCCTGCTTCCGATAAAGTGAGGATTCATCTGGAGTCGGTAGAGTACGAGAGTGCTGATATAGAGAATGATCCTGAACCCGACTTAGTGAAGATCAGCATACAATCAGCACAATCAGCTTCATCAAAAACCGAAACGCAACAATCCTCTACTAGGAGTTCTACTAGTAGAAGCATTTTTGCAGTAGATTTCGCAGAGCGTCTCTTATCAAAAATCCTAGAGCAGACTTGGCTACCACCAAAACTAGCGAGCGAAGCCGGTCCTGGTAGCACAGAATTTATGGTTGACCAGACGCGTGGACGAAAGAACAACATCGTATATCACACCTGTGATAAAGATAATATTAAAACCTCTACTGGAACTGGTGCTTCTACATCTACATCAACTTCTGCAGAAGCTAAAGGAAATCCTCATTCCTCCTGCGACGTCTGGATCAACCTACAAGCTTTACGATTGGAGCACTCCCATTGGCGCAAAGCTCAACGTGCAGAGATGCTAGAACTAGCGGAGAAAAAGTCTAGGCCTGGAGCTTTCGAATTTTAAGGCTAGTTTGTCACTCTCCCATATGAACTATGCCGAGTGGGGTCCTCTGGCTTTGTTATTGTCTTAGAGGGGGAAGCACGCAGTTACAGGGAGAAAGGGGAACCCACTCAAGGAGGCGTAGTGAAAAACTAGCGCTAAGAATTCAATTCGGCGATTGCTCCACCTGGTAGCGGGCCTCCTGTGCCTGCTTCGAGTATTTCTGCAGCTCGGGAGGCCAACAACATATCACCTACACCTCCTTCTCAATCAACGACACTATCGTCGACGATATCGCCTCTTGACGAAGCCAGATTGCTTGGTCCACCCCCAAAGAGTTTCGAACTAGTGCCCAGTTTGATGCAGCTGTGTTGGCAAGGTTGCAGTGAACTAGCGATGGGGAACGGTAGGAATTCTTGCCGTTGCCTGCACGTCGATGAAGTGGATTTGGAGGTGGAGGAGAGTGTCGAAAGCAAGAAAATGGGAGAGAAAGGGGTTCCTTTGTCAGCAACACGAAAGCGAAAGACACGACCTTCTAAGAAAATCCGTAGCTGTAGTCTATTCAATCGCTGTCGTGGTGCTAGGCCGTGTTTTAGTAGTGCGAATAAAAAAAGTGAAGTAGAGACGACCACTGGTGAAACCAACGAGCAGACAGGAGTAGAAGACGAAAAACCTCCTCCACAACAAGAGGTCTCCGTTCGTGAGCTAGCACTATCTTCCCTGCGCAGCACCGACGTTTCCACGCTAAATCCTGAAGATTATGCACATTTAGCATCAGATGCGGAAAAAGCGGAGTTGCTAAGCATTTTCGGTCGAAACCCATTACAGGGCTTCGGAAATGTCAGGCCTCATAGTTAAGGCTAGTTTTTCGCTATCCCATTTGAACTATGGATGCTGAGTGGAGTCCCCCTTGATTTAAAGGGGAATGGAGCGGGGAAAAGGGGAACTCACTCAACCGGGCAGAGTGAAAAACGAGCTCTAACATAAGGATACAGCACACTTTGTGCGCTGTGCAACTGCGGAATTCGGTGATACGGTTCTCGCATGGCCGAAAAAGGAATTGCAGGGGTAAGGCAGAGGGTATCTTTCGTAAGTATCACAACAGGTAGACATGAACAGCTACAAACGAGGTTCCATGCCATGCCATGCTTTTCTTGACTGATAGGGACTCATCTTTTCGGGATCATAATTTTAGACTCAAAACTACGATTGGAATCAAGACTAAAAAATACCGACTCAACTCGTCTCGATTACGCTCACGGTTGCATTTATGAATGCAGAAAACAATCGACTTCGTCTTAAATCACTGAAATTTGTCTGGGTTGCGGTCTTGTGTTTTTACACGTGGACGTAAAACGCGTCACCGCGTTGACAGCTGCATTCCTGTTTAGCCTGTGTGTTCTCCCCGAGGAAAAAGTTGTTGTTCTTGATACATTGCCTCCGTCCTACGCATGTGCAAGTGCTATTCTAGATGAGAAAGTTGTGTTGTAAGTGCTATTCTCGCTGAGAAAGTGTTGTACGACCTACTATTGTGGATGTTGCAAGAAAGATGCTGATGCTAGGCTGCATGTTCAAAGACAACGTGGCTTGAAGGGCTCTCCTGGATTTGTAAGTCTTTCACCCAAAGCAAAGATGCACAACAAAGCAAAGACATTCAACGAAGCCTCTGCCTCAGATAATGAGATTATTTCGGTCGGATTTTAGTATAATTGTTGGTCTGTTTACACGATACAGTTAGAGAAGGAGAAACTTATCATCAAGGCATCGGTTATCAACTAGATGTGAGATTGAATGCGATGTTGCACCCAGTAATTAGAAACTTAAATTTAGATATCTAACATTCCTCTTTCGAAAAGTCTATCGTAAGAAAACATAGGTAAATCAGCGCAAGTCATAATTAGTCCACCATCTGAGATTGCTTTTTTCTTACTGTTTTAGTAGTCACACAATAACAAAATTTGAATACCTCCCTCCATCCACCAACTCCCAGCAGGCATGGAAAAAATGATTCTTTAAACTTGAAAAAAAAATGTATAATAAGTCCGTTGAAAATTCCCCACAATCGTGTACAAGTACTCCTTTCTAAGTCCCAACTAACTTGATCCCTATTTAATATTTGTGCTTAGGCATTATAGACGAGTGCCCACTCCTTGTATTCCCTGTGTATATGTTGCTAAGTTTCTTGGTTTATCCCATTCCTATCTTCAAATGAAATGGAAGTCGCTTTTTACCTATATTAACGTATTCCTATTTTCTTTTTGCTTGTTTGTGTCATTGGTCGTTATGAGATCCTTTCTATGATCTTTGACTCGCAAGAAAACTGACACAAAAAATGTTCACCAAAAGAGGACACAGAAAAAATGGAGTCTACTACAACTGAAGGACGATATGATCTTGATTCCTCGCAAGAGGCGGCCCATGTTAAGGTCATGGAGGATGCGGCAGAAAGAGGAAACTTTCATGCAACTACGATCTCAACACGCTCCTATATGCGGAAGATGAAGACACCGACAATATTTAGCTCCAGTCGCGCCCTACGTGCGCGTCTGCGCTCTCTGAAGCAACAAAAAAAGCGCTCATCTAGATCACGTAAGCTGTGTACTGCAGGAGCCGGTCAATGGTCCGAGCTTCTGGGACAACAAGCGAAGGCAGAATACGCAATGAAGCTGCTTATGCGTACTGTCGAGGTGAACGATGAAACTGAAGAAGAAGAAGAAGAAGAAGGTGATGCTGAACAAGATGTTGGAGAAATACAAGCGTCTGCGTCAGAGCCTGAAGAAGAAAGCGATGAAGATGTTGTAGTTGGTTTCGAAGATGAAGAGCACGATGATCCTGTTCCTGATTCCACCCATACTAGCACGAGACCCAGGCTTTTCGATGAAATGGACAAATTTCCGCCTGTCTTGGTAAAGACAGCAGAAGAGGATTATAGTGGGGAACTAGGTACTTACTTGGACTACCAGAGTGAAGCTAGTATCCTCGTGAATCTTGCGCGTCCTCTTTTTTACAGTTTCTTGATTCATTCAGAGCGTTTGTTTCTGTACATTTGATAGATTATAGTCCGTTCTTCCGTATATTTTAGAACTTAGACCACGTTGAGTAGTGAAGATAGAGCCTCAATTATGATTGCCAAAATCCAAAGGCGGCATCGACATCGTGGTTCCAAGTGACAAAAGTGAGGCCAAATGCCACAGTGCGACAGAGGAACATCTTGCAGAACTAGAATCCTTTGCGCAGGATCGAAAGAAACTATGTAGTCAACGTCCAGTATTTTGGAGCAGAGGTGGGTCTCTACGTGGAAAAAAACGAAGACTCAGGCATTTCCGGGTACACTTCGTGAAACTCTGCAAACGTATCGCAATGGAAGATGAGTTGAAGATGCCACTCACGTCTTCTTCTTCAATAAGGCAATCTTCGAGCAACGACATGAACCCTTTAAAGATATCTCCAGCTTTGATCTTACGCCTACATCAAAGCAATAAAGTTTCCTCCTTGTTGGCCAAGATGGAAAAGTGTAATACGGAGAGCGCTCGCAAGATGAAAAAGAAAACTAAGGGGATGAAGAACTACAACACGCTGAAGAATGAGGACGAAACATTACGTTCATCTCGATCCAAGAATACAACGTCTTCTACAACAACAAATGCCTCTAGTACTTTTCCGAGTGAAAAAGCAGCACTTCCTGGCGCTCTCTGCGTTCGTCTACTCCTCTGTCATGATTTGTTTCTGCATTATGGAGTTTCGCCCTTCGATTATCCGGATATCACGGTCTGGTGTACTCCGGTATTCCGTCACTTCGCTGAACGCATCCATCTGTTGATGAAGTGCATCCAAAAGCTTGCAGCATTTGAGGAATCCATTACTCATTCGCCCCTACTTCTCAACCACACGAAGGACAGAGTGATCCATCCTTTTTTTTCTGGGATTCTGTTAAGGCTTTTTGATGCACGATACATTTGACATCTCTCAACACTCTCAACATAAATCCCACAAAGGTAGAACAGTAGTATTTTTTCGTATGACTTGTTACAAGCATCTTTGACGGACCCCTTGATTTCTAAGTAAGGGGAAAACACGTCGAATTAATTTATGCTTTTCAAGAAGATGTTGAATATTTAAGCAAGGTCTAACACTGCTTGCGGGGTATGCAGTGAAGCAAATTATTACCGCGTCAAAAGGGACAGAAGCGAAACCGAGAGAGAAAGTAAGGGAGAGCGAGGATTTGCCGGATTTCGAACAGCGCGCTCTCGATTGGATGGCTACTATGCTCGATCCAAAGAAGGGCCTCGATCTATCATCGAAGTTGCGCAGTGACTTGAATGGCTTTTTGGCTACTGAGGTTGCGGAGAGAACTAAGAAGACGGAAAAGCGCGAGTCTACGATGAAGGAGCGTGCCACAACAGAAGGACGGAAGAAGCGTGGGTTGCTCTTTCTTGAGCGCTTTCTGATGGCACTATTTCCTGGCTCTTGCGCTACTGTGATCTTCAACCCCTTGATGAAGATGCGTCACAGTGCTCGGGCTTCTACTAGAAAAGACAACAACGTTCCATTTCTATGTCAGATTCTCCACGATTGGCTCCAAGCGTCTCTTCAGCAAGCTTGTGGTAACTTGGCACCTCCTAGCGGAGGAGGACCTACAGAGTTTGGACTGTCCTATAGAAGCAACGATGCAGAAGTAGGCAGAAGTACAGGTAGCATTGTCACTGTAGGCAGACCCCGTTCCCACCGTTTCGACGAAGGGGATAGTACACATACTACACTTCATCTTGATGACAGTGCTGAAGGCCATAGTACACATACACTTCTTGATGACAGTGCTGACAGAGGTACAACAAGTGCAACTACTTCATCTAGTTCTAGACATACACATACTAAAGTGGTGCAGTTGCAGACAGTGAAGGACGCAGTTGACCAATTACTTGCCAAGAGGTTCGAGATTTACAAGAATGCCAAGGCCCACCTCTTCTCCGCTTTGGGAGCCAGACAGCAAGCAGAGCAGCGCTTTTTTCGCGAGATGACAGGTACTCCAGAAAGTCTAAAACGAGCAACGCAGGCACGTAAGAATTGGAGACACGCGATCCGGGAGTCCAGACATGCGCTGAAGAAAATGGAACGGGCTTTGACCTGTTGTTAGGGCTAGCGCTCAAGCATGTCCTTAACATCATGACCCCTGGAGGTTCTTCATCTTTTTCTACTTGAAAAAGAAGAACCTAAGGATATGACTCTCAGGGAAGATGCTAACGCGGTAGCTCTAATGTTGGAGTAGGTGCTGGACCGAGGAGCAGAGAGAAGAGTGGAATTACAACGCTTACTGGCAAGTGATGACGCGTGAGGTGATGCCTATTGAGAAGTGGGAACCTATTAACGAAGACAAAGAAGACAAAGCATCTGGAGGGAAAGTGGAGAGGACTCAAACTTCTTCATATAGAAAACATAAAATTAAGGCTTGGGAGTTGACATCTCTATGCGCGTCTCTAGGGCTATCACAAGTAGGAAAGCCATAGATATGCGAGCTAGAGACGCCAACTTTCAACCTCTAATAAAAATCAAAACGAAAATGTTAAGTCCACCTCCACCTCTTCTTCCAGCATGACCATCACCGCTACTAATACAACTTCAGTGGTGCCCTTCATCGTCAATGCAACACGCAAAGACGATGGCGCTACACAATCGACGTTGCTGCGACGTGTGGACGATCCTTCGTTTGATCGCTTCAAGACCGCCTGTGCGTGGGCCGCGAGGGCTGAGGACATCGCACTTCAATATGCTCACCATCAAGATCATGCTGATGAAGACTTTCATCCTAGAAGTAGTGAAGACATGATTGAGTATCATCATCCGAGGACAACTTCTTGTGCTAGAAGTGTTTTTGGCGACTATCTGCCGAATTTGATCCGACCACCAGTGCTAAAGTCTTCTTTGGGAGAAAGTGATATCATCTTCAATGGACGACAAGGAGAGCGATATTGTTTTCCGCACCAGCATCAACAAGATGGAGTAGATCAATTGCAACAACAAGGGCATGAAACTACTACAGTGAGTCCGCCAGTGACCGATGTTGGAGGAAGAAGCAGAAGGAGAGCAGCAGCTAGTTCTTTGCGCAAATTTCAGAGAGGACGAGCTTGTCAGAGGAGTACGCTTTTGACTATCCACGAAGATGAAGAGCTCACTTTTCCAGTGCTTTTGAAAGAGGACCAAGAGACACAGACAAGTCTAGGGACCACTGCTAAGAGTAACACGTTGCCGGGACCAAACAAGATGAAAGCTGTAGGAGTAGTCGAAGGAGTGGAAGATCTTCGTGAGGAAAAAACACCAGTCGGTACTAAACTAGTACCAATATTAGC